TAAATAAATAAACATACTAATTAGGTTCTTTACAAGGATTTCTTTTTTTATGTAAGGGCTGGAATTTACCTTTCATTACTCTAACCTAATTGCAATAGTGCATGATAAAAAGTCAACATAAAGGAAGGACTTTAAATGATTTTGCCGTATTAGGGATGAGCTGGTGATCCCCCCCCTCAGTAACATGGCATATTCTCTTAACACAGCGAACAAACTGGCACAGAATATTGTTCAAAGGTTAAAAGAGAAATTTTGCCAGTGGCCAGTCATTAGGGTCTTTCTCTACTTTTTCTACTCTTGCTCACTTTCCCATTAGAAGACGCTCCTTCATCTTCCTCATTCTTGTATTAGACAAGCATCCTTGTCTAATACACCCTGCTCACGTACTTCATTGATTCAAGACATTCTTCCTCTATATATGTGACCTCAAATACTGGCTTAATGCTGGAGAATACACCCTGCTCACATACTTCATCGATTCAAGACATTCTTCCTCTGCATATGTGACCTCAAATACTGGCTTAATGCTGTTTAAATGCTGGCAGTCAATCTTAAGAGAGAAACTGTGAAGTCACCAATAGTCCCACCATGAGCTCAGAAGTGATTCCTCAAGATCCAGCTCACTCAAAACATCCTTAAACATCCCAGTAGCTTCAACAAACGCCAAAACCCAGCTAGTGTCTCCAAAAGAGTAAGTTCCTAAGTAAGTATTCATCCTATGTGCCTAAAATTAGGTGTCAAAGCCACCAAATGTGATCACCAGATTCACGTCCCCACCATGAACTTGTATACCTTGGTCCAGTGCTACCATGCACTCCTTTCCTAACGAGCCACCAGCCCAGTAAGGTGGGACACTTACATTGCTAAAAGCTTCGGAGAAAATAGATTGTTTTAAAAAGAACAGCATTAAATTGTTTCCAATCAAGTAAGACATCAATACTTATTTCAAATCACTTCGCGAATTTCCCCCCAGCTTCTCCCAGTTCTTCAAGATCAGGATCTCTTGAACAAAAATCAGTTTGAGGGCCATTCTTAATGGGCAAACAATGTATTTTAGAATCCCCTTTTCCAACAGAAAATAATAATGATTTTATGTAAAACACTGATAAACAAAAATGAGACACAAGAAAGTATTCTGTTTTAGAGAACAGATGTCTATTTGCAATTAATACAGCCCCATTTCATACAATCAGACTGTTTAAAATGCTTGGAACAAGACTTGAAAGTTTAAATGCAAATGCATCTGATTATATGGAGAGTTAATAACATTGTATAAAAACATGTTTCATATTTTTGTATGAGATCTATTAAAATCTAGGCATCAGTATACATTAAAAAAAATAATTTCTCATCAAAAATTTCTAAGACAACATGAAAAGAAGAAATCGCGTTTTCTGCCATGAGCTTTGGTTTGGCAGAAACAATTCCATTTTTTATATTGGAAGTTACTTATACATATAATTATCCTTTAGAAACAGCTGAAATTACAGAAAACTATTTAATTATCTGCAAAAATATTTACAACTTCTTGTTTGCAACTTCTATAGCAGTGTTTTTATGTATATGATTTTAAAGACAAAGTAGTTCCCAGATGAAGACAAGAAAATCTGCACCTGACTAGGGCTGGCCAAGTGCACGAGCCTCAGGAAGTTGTATTTGTCAGCTGGGAAAATGGGGCTAATGTTTATTGTTTTCTAAAATATTTCTGATATTAATGAACTGTACAGAGCACTTTAGTGTTTTGCACTGAGAAAGAAAATACTATGAATTTTGATAACGGAAACAGGGTGTTTGAAACAATCACCCCAACAAGTTATTTTATTAGAAAAAAGAAGGTATATCTAGGAATACAACTAATCATTCAAACCAAGCAAAAATCTAGGTATTTCTTATTAATTAAAAATCAATTCATGTTTTCTTAACATAGGAGATGAGGTTTATCTGTTTACAATTCCTGGCATTTGACCAACAAAATCTCACAAAAACCTTAAGGAGTCCGCAGTTCCCTCTGCTGCCGCTGGAAATTAATTTTGCATAACACTGTTATTAAAGCCAATATAATTCTATGTTTAGTCTTTTTTATGCATAGTGCGATTAAAAGATTAATTGAAAAATCACTAGTGAAGATTGGGATTAAACAGCACCTTGAAATACCACGATAAACTGCTTTTAAAATCAGTTGAGGATTTCACACAGCTCGGAAAGGTTTCAATTATTTATGTGTTTGGTCTGTGTAGCATAAATCCAGACTAATGAGGTACAATTGCTGTGTATAAATCTAAAGCTGAAAAAACCTCTCCTTATTGTCTGGAGGAAGCTGTAACCTCAAAGGACTGGGAGGCAGCAACCTTTCAAGACAGAGCATTTATGCTCTCAGGAATAGTTTATTTTTCTTTTAGCCTGAGGTTCTGGGCTGATGCGAGCGCCGTACCCCGGTTAGGAGGAACCCAGCTTCACACAGAGGTTACTCACCAGAAGGGTCAGCCCAGCAGGCTCACAGGGCTGGGAATTATTCCTCTTGAAACACCAGATGAACCTTAGACCCTGAGAGACCCACCTCTACAGCTAAAGACATAAATTGATTTCCATACGCACATGAAGTCGTACAGTCTGGGGCTGAAACTTTCTGCATTAGGTTTTGTTTTTGTTTTTTTTTCCTAAGGATGATTTATTGGTAAAGACTCCAGCTATTTGGAAGTTTTGAAGAATCTCACAGGCACTCCCTTCCACTTCTTTCCCATCTCCTTCCAATTATTTGCACATTCTTAAAATATGTATAGTGCTTACCAGTGCCTTTGGAGATGAATACATGTTTTTTTCCTGGTAAATGGACTGATTAATAGAACAACTAGACCTCTGCATGAAAGACCGTCATGAGCAGCAGCATGTATGATACGAACTGTCCAAGGATGAAAATAGTTGAGATTATACAGTTAGTTAATTAACTCTGGACAAACAGCAGGGTTGTGAACTATTTTTAAACAAAATAAGCATTATCAGAATCCTTTGGTAGCGCGGTAAACCACGCTGCTGCAAGGGAGCAACTCCAAATCTAACTTGGGAGAAGTTCAGAGTGAGAAATCACAAGTTCTGAAGAAACCTCCCTTCTTCTGGGGGAGGTGCTCTTCACACTGCCCGTCCTGCAGCACCTTTCACTCAATGATTTGTGGCTGAAAACAGCAAAAGCTTTTGTAGCAGTCAGGGCCAGATGGAAAGTGCCATATTGGCAACATCAACTGAGACAGATGGGAAAGAGGGAAAACCTGCCTAAAAGAAAAAATGATAAACCCATCACACAATCACATACAAAAATACTTTAAAAACAATCTTTTTGATCTCTGATCCAAGGAAAATATGCATACCACTGGTTCAGTACAGGGCTGCAATCTTGTACCAACAATAATAACCTTGATTTAGACAGCAACTGCAAAATGGAAATCGCTAAATTACTACTGCTTGTAAAAGGGGCTTCTCTTACATTCACCATCCTTCCACCCTACCTTATTCCTTGTCAGTCACATGCAAGATAATTTACCCAATTTCCTAATTGTGCCTGAATCTTGAAAAGCATCATCTACTTTCTGACCTCCAAAAGTCACCAGAAGGAGAAGGCACTACATGTAAAAAAGGGCTCCAAGAGAATAGAAAGGGTTTCAAAGTAAAGAAGTAAAACCAGACATTTTTCTATAGCAGAATAGTTAAAGTCAGCTTAAGACGAAATGCAAGAGCTTCCAAGACTTATAGCTTCTTAAGACTCTACTGATTAATTCAATTCTTTTCTGGAATATATCGTTCCACTTCGTGAATCCAACAATTGAAGATTAAATGTTTAATGCCAACTGTTTATTTTAACCTCTGACTCAGTTAATCTCTTGCAAATTTGGGGCTGTTCAAAGAAAGTTAATAATGGGATGTTAGACAGTTGATTAATTAAATCTAAATGTAACCACAGCTATACTTACTATAGAGAAATTAACAGAACATTTGAATTATAAAGGCAAAAATCTAACCAGAATAGTGTTTTGAAGTCAACAAACTCTAAAAACAATATAAAATTGAAGAAGCGATCCTAACGTTGATTTTTAGTGACTTAATTTTGTTTTGACAAAATATCTGATTGTCAGATTCATTTTACCATTTGCTTGGAAACAAGAAATTTACTCACATGTACACTACACCCAAGCTTTCTGTAACAGCCTGTGTGAGACAGGAAAAACTAAGAGGAAGTGCCATGAGAAATCTGAGATGGAAAAGACTGATCCAGTCTCAGTTCTTCACCTGTGTATATGGCATATTTTCTAGTTTTATTTAAAATTTGGCAAAAAGTGTGACTTCTACCTTTCACTCTACTAGAGGAAAATCAGCATCCAGCTGCCACACTACAGACTCCACTTCCATGTTGCTGTCTTAGAGTAAAAGCTTTAAAGACTTCTCTTGTGATAAGCAAAGAGCTGCCTCTGAAAATGGATGTGAACAATAGGTTCTTCTGGAATGAAATCTTGCTTGGTCAGGCAGAAATAAGTCGAATGTATTGGACTTGTTTATCTCTATTCCAGCCTTTACCGTTCATTTACTTCAAAGGCAAATTCTTGACTTCATCATATAACAGAAACTCACTGACCCAAGAACAATTTGAACAAATTTAAATCATATTGGTTTCCTCTTTCTTTCCGTCCTCTCATCACTCTTTTCCTTCTTAGCTATGATGATTAAGACTCACTCATTGCTAGGGCTGCTGAAAAACAGTGAATATTTGAGTTTGTGCTCCTATTTCTACAGTCATGTTTAACTGTGATTGTAGAACATAATAGATCTTTCGTTTAAAGGTGAAATTCTTTTTATCGCTCATTTGCCTAAGAGCAAGAAAGATCCTATAATCCTGTGACAAATGAAGAACAGTATGTTTCTGGAAAAAAATAATCTTTAATAACCTGCATTTTAGGAACAGTAATTCAATCTCTTAAGAAATCCATCTCAAGGGATTAAATGATCCAACTCACCAGAAGCATCGCCGAGGTCCCATTTGGCCGGGATAGCTGGATGGACATTTCAGGGAACATCCTATCAATGCGATTGATCACATCATCAACATATCTGCCAAACAAACCAAAACAATAGAATTAACACACATGCTCTTTGCCACAGACTCAGGCTTTCCTGAATTAAGCATAATTCAAAAAGTTATTGATAAGAGGAAACAAACCAAAGCCCTATGTAAGGTGTTCTGAAAACTACTCTGCTCTTAAAAACATGCACTCACTCAATTTTTAGTCCAAATCTGTCACCCTCAAACTCTTGCCAATATATTTCTATACTTTTGCCTCAGGGAGTTGAAGGATCAAAATAATTCTTCCAGCGTAAGAATTCATAGGTTGTCACCTCCTTACCCTCTCTTTGATAAACTAAACAGATAGAGATTTTCTCAGTCTTCAAACTTTTTTTTTCTTCTGAAACTTTCCAATTTATTTCACGCACGGGTGACCCTAAAACTGGCTAGCACATTCCAGGAGCTTCCCTGGGGTGATCAAACACAGAGGTGAAATAACATCCTTTCTGCTGGGTAGGATCCCTCTGCTCTTGCAGGCCAAAGGGAGCAGGAATACACTTGTCCTGGTTCCTGGTATCGTATTAAGAGCTGACATCCATTAACAGCAAAACCTTCCTTTCAGAGACCTTGTTTCCCAGGACACATTGCCCCATCCCATGGGCATGTCTCATCCTTCAGCCATTCCTCTGGACACATTAAAATGCACAGTATTTGCTTTAGCAGAGTTTACAGGACAGTCTGTATCATCTGTGCCCTCATCTGTCCTCCAGTCCTACTTTTAGTTCTCCTGAAGAATGCAGAGAAGGCAGGGGCACTGCTGCCTTGGTATCATATGCATCTACAAACTCTGCAACTCCATCAGATCCATGAATTAATTTATTGATAAAACTGCTTAAATGTGAGCCCATATCAGTGCTCTGAAAAACAGATTTTGGAAAAATTGGTTGCCCCAGTTAGATTTACAGTAACACTGAACAATCTAATTATTTCCCTTTAGCCTGCGCAAAAAAAAGACAAAAAATGTTGAATTCTTGCTCTTCAAAGTCATTCAGTTCTAATGTTAGTTGCTAGTCCCGCCGCCCCCAAAAAACAATGAGGTTCTATGCTCCAATTGCTACTTTGCAAGGGATTAAAAATCATCAGAAAAAATAAAATAACATCAAGAAAGCTACACTTACACAGCTGGTAGAGTCAGCTCCCTTTGAAAAGTAACAAAAGAATGGAATTAGTTATGACAATTTTGCATAAAAATCTTAATCTGCACCTCTCGTGCAGAAAATCCTTCCCCCATTCACTGGAATGACTCATTAACAGCTCACTTGCTGATAAGCAAAGTCAAAACATCCATAAGCCAAGAACTTCCTTAGCACAGTGAAAAAGGAGACGCGCAAGACACTGCTTCAGGATGAGTGAGTTACACACGGACAGGACGCACCTCAGTGATTTTAAACGGCACTCAATCCCATGCTTTTTTTTTTTTTATACAACATGAGAGTTCATACTATTTCATAAACACAATTACCAGGCTCCACAAATAAATTCTCGTGTCTTCTCGCCTTGCACGCTATGATGCAGACCATTGCATAACTTAAGTTTTCTAATCTTCCAAGCTTTGGGCAATAATAAGTTAAAACAAAAAAAAAAATGAAGTTACATAAAATAAGACACTGTCACAGTCTATATGCATTAAGGAAGGAAAAAGCCAAGTAATTTTAAATTACATAAACAACAGTTGGGCTTGGGCATTTAATCTGCTTAGGTCCTTCTGAAAAATGCCAGTGGACACGTACATTTATCCTTTGAAAATGTGATCCAGGCTGGCTTGGAGGTAATCAGTTCTTCAACTCTTTCTTGGATATAATCATTTGTTAAATGTAAAACTTGTCTTGACCACCTGCCTTAAAACTTGACTCAAACCCAACTGTCACTTCGTACTATCTGAGCAGGATAAGGCAGTGCAGGGAACTCACAGGGAGCTCACGAAGAGTCTTCCCTTTCAGCGAAATCAAACGTACAGCAAAACAGAAATTTTCTAATTTGTATTAACCAGCTCCTGAAAGAACTTAAAGATGAGTTACTAAGATACTTTGGGCTTAGAAGCCTGTTAATGTTGTATCACTCTTCATAGGTCATTTGACAAAAAAAGAAAATTAAAATGAAATACATTTTACTTCAGCAAGGCTCAGCAACTCCACCAGGACCCTCCACACAGGAGCCTTTTGCTTTCTCTTCTCAGTCAAGAGGGTGTCAGAGAAAATCCCAGATCAATGTAATAAAAGAGCACTGATGTATGTAGCATTATTTTGCCCCTTTGCCTTTTTTCAAGTAGACAACAGGGTTTCCTAAGGACACATCACAACAGAAGGATTCTTCAAAGATGCATATATAATTACTAAATTAGCCTGACTACATGGCGGCCTCAAATATAAAATGACAAACAACCTAATCTAAGGCAAAATTCTTCTACAGCTATGCCCTTCAGAGAGGACATCTGGTAAAACATCTTGCAAAGGGATGGATATGATAAATCAGATGCAGCAAAGTAATGTAAAAGTGTAACTAGTGACGACTTTAGAGAAAACTGAAGAACGTATGATAAAGACAAGATAAAGTGCACTCCTGAGGCTGGCTGCAAAGAGGGTCAGAGAAAAAGCTACTCTCTGGAACTCATTTTACAGAACTGAAATACATTAATTTAGTGCCAAAATAAGCAGAGTCACAATTTACACATCTCTGCCCAATCAGTTTCAGCTCAAAAATATGATAGTTCCTATTTATGTTACAGAACCTCTTACACAGTCCCAGAGAGGCGTAGCAATTGAAGACGGAGAAAAGTCTAATTTTACTTTGCCAATAAGCACTTCTAACTTTTAACGTACTTACCACATCTCAGTTTTCTTGTACTTATAAAAGATGCTGGTTGGAATGAGCATTTACAAACCCAGGAGAAATAACGCAAAGCAGAGAAAAGCAAATGGAAATAGACTTGCTCAACCATTTGGCATATCTTCATCTTAAGAAAAAAATAATCATGGGATTCTCAAAAATAAATACCAGCTAAAGTTATATGGTAGTAGCATCCTCTCTTGACCTAGAACATTGTTCCACCCAGGAAGGGTTGAATAGAGCACCTAGACAAACTCCCTCCCTATTGCTCCTCTATGAGGCAAAGGGTGATCGAAAAGGTTTAAAGACAGACCACAAATGACTGCAGAAATCATACCCAGTAGTCTACATATTCAATTACAGCACAGTATTTAAACTCTCCATATACAAAATTTGTAACAATTTCCCTCTCCAATTTCATTTTGTCCTTCTCTCCTCAACGACACAGATTCATTATTTTTAAGAAAGTTTTAAAATTATATTTTTGACAGAAAATGACATTTTAAAAATGATAAATGGTATCATTCAGCAGTATGTATCTGAATGTGCCAGTAAGATCAGACCTGACATCAGATGCTCTTCAAGGCTGTCAACACTATAGATTGTTTTCATTTTAATGTAGTAGAATACTTTCTTCCACGAACATGCTATATTAATACTGCAAAAGTCAAAACACAAGATTCTACTTCATGAACGTTAGCAATGACTAACATTAATTCAAAATGTTATGCTCCAAATGAAGTTGTGTTATGAACATGCAGAAAAATCAACACTGGAATAAAGCAACAGAGATATTCTTTGAAAAACCTCTCTGCCATTTTGTGTCTACATAAATCCTTTAGTCCCTTATTAGAAGAATACAATACAATGCCTGGAACAGACAGAAGACACTTTTGAAGCCAGTTAGAAAATAGTATTTATAAGGGACTAATTAGTTATGGAAAATGCTAAACGAGAAGTTTCAAACTAAACATCAAGTTGACAAGGTAGAAATAATTCAGGAACCATCTTTGTAGATGAACGGTTTTCTAACATCTCTTTGATTCACACAAAGGCCCCCCAAAAGACAGTAATATAGGAAAGTAATCCATTATAAATGCCTTTCAATTCCACACTGGACAGATGGCTTAGTTATCTAATGTGACCTCTCTTCTTCATTTTTTTTTTATTTATTTTTACTGGATTAGATCCAGCAATCCGATGTTAGTGTGATGTTTAACAGCTTAGACAAGATTTAAATAGCATTTATCCCACACAGTGTTTAACTTGCATGCTGTTCATTTTTTCCACTCAATACAACAATTTAAAAATTAGAAATATAGGTATTAATAATTTTCTAAGGAGGTCTTTCAGAAGAAAGAAAATTTCACTAAATGATCTTGGGAAAACAGAAAAAGAGAGAGAGACAAGTACACATTTGTAATACAAAAGAGCGTAATCTTTCCCATACACTCAGTGGAAAAAACACGACATATGAGACAAAGAGAAACTCTACCAATCTGTTAAATCTGGATTCTTGATATCCTGGACAGCAATCAGGGAAAATCTCCACACATTCTCCCACTTAGTAGATTACTTGCTCCCAGATTTTTGGTTTTTTGGCTTTTAGTTACTATTTTTCAAGACAGCTAATAATTTTTTTTCACATGTCTGATATTTCAGAAGTAGGGGTTGATCCTGCAGAGTCTTTTCTACATAGCTAATAAAGGCATCGGTGCAAAGCGCCTGCCTGCACTTTACTAAGACCTATGGAACGGCTGGTTTTTGCAGAACCAGACTCAATATATAACTTAAGGCTTTTAGCAGTGGCAGGATTTTAAGTCTTACACATTTTATAAAGAGCCTGAATAGTTTTCAGGCAACCTGACCAGAAGAATATTGTATTTTAAAACATACAAGGTAGTCACAGTTCTAGTGCGTTTTACTAATCAATGAATTAAAGTTTTAATTTGATTCAGCTACCTGCTGAGCAAGTCTCTGCAGGTAGCAAATTCAAGTTGATAGAAAGCTTTTCAGAAGCATCAATTAACAATAGTTATTAAAACAGTGACCTCTGCCAGCTTCTGTGAGATGACACTTCCTGCTTGGCTAGGCAATGAAGAGCGTGAAAAGAAATTCAACAACTCTCATGCTGAGAACGCGACTTCAAGTCTCAAGACTAAATGAGACAGCTGGCACA